TTCCACACTCCAGACTGCTCGCCTTTACTACTTCCTTCACCATTCCCTACGTCGCGGATCTGTTTCCCTCTCTTCCCATAGCATTTTAAAATTGTAGATACGTAAATCTAATCGTCATAAACAGTTTCCACACTCCGGACAGCTCGCCTTTACTACTTCCTTCATCACTTTCCTACGTCGCTTACCTGTTTTCCTCCCTTCCCATAGAATTTTAGGAATGCAGATACCTTAATCTAATCGTCATAAACAGTTTCCACACTCCAGACTGCTCGCTTTTACTACTTCCTTTACCACTTCCTACGTCACGGACCTGTTTTCCTCCCTTCCCATAGAATTTTAGGAATGCAGATACCTTCATCTAATCGTCATAAACAGTTTCCACACTCCAGACTGCTCGCCTTTACTATTTCCTTCACCACTTACTACGTCGCGGATCCGTTTCCCTCTCTTCCCATAGTATTTTAAGATTGTAGATACGTAAATCTAATCGTCATAAACAGTTCCCACATTCCGGACAGCTCGTCTTGACTACTTCCTTCACCACTTCCTACGTAGCAGACCTGTTTTTCTCCCTTCCCATAGAATTTTAGGAATGCAGATACCTTAATCTAATCGTCATAAACTTTCTCCAAACTCCAGACTGCTCCCCTTTACTACTTCCTTCACCACTTCCTACGTCACGGACCTGTTTTCCTCCCCTCCCATAGAATTTTAGGAATGCAGATACCTTCATCTAATCGTCATAAACAGTTTTCACACTCCAGACTGCTCACCTTTACTACTTCCTTCACCACTTCATACGTCATGGACCTCAAGCTAGTGTCGTCATTTGATTATAATTTATGATCCATACCGTTTCTGTTCTAATATCTGTGGAATAATGCTATAAGCTATTTCTTTATCTACTGCATTCAAAAGTCAACAGCTGATCATATGTCTTTGTTTATGTGTCAAATACTGCTTCCATAAGGATTACATTGAAACTTTGAGACCCAGTGGGGCGGATTCCTGAGAGACTTTTTTAACGCCATATAGATGTTGGCACTCACCGATATGGTCTTTATCACCATACAAAATTTGAAAACGATTGATTCAGCCGTCTAGGAGGAGTTTGCGTATTACGAAATGCATAAAAGTCGATGTATAAGAGCTTCGCTCAATCAAACTTATTTCTAGTATCATAACTATGTACATCGCTATTTACATGAAGAGAGTCTTGTCTGGCTTTTATTGCCACCAGACACTGAAAAATGTACTCATTTACAATTGTCAAAATTTCATTTTCAACAAACAAAGGTCTGCAATGGTCAAGGTACCCAGCATTTGAAATTACTCTAACAGCTCTCTTTTGAATTAAAAGAATTCTCTGAGTACCAGTGGCATGGCCCCACAGCCTGGTTCCATAGGCTAAAATAGACTGAAAAAAAGCATGGTAGGCCTGCCTAACTGTTGGCCTTGGAAGCTCAGACATTAGCTTTCTAAGCAGGAACAACACTCTGCTAAGTCTCTTACACAGGACATCTATGTGACCTTCCCAAGACAGCTTGGGATCCAGTACAAAACCTAACAGTTTTACAGACAAACTTTCAGGTACATTAGGCAAAAGGCTGAAAGTTATTTCCTGGGTTTTCAAATCATTAAGAGCTAATTTGTTTAAAATGAACCATTGCTGAGCCAAGGCCAAAGAGTCATGCACTGCTGACTGAGCCAGGAACCAGTTTTTATCAGACGAAAATAAAGTTGTGTCGTCTGCAAATAGAATAATGTGACTATTAACATGGTAATGCAAATCATTGATGGCAATCAAAAATAAGAGGGGTCCCAAGATAGAGCCTTGGGGAACTCCATGGAGCACATCACCTTTCTCTGAAAAAGTCCCATTCCAACTAACAACTTGTTTCCTATTTGACAGGTAAGAGGAAACCACTTTGAGGGCAACATCTCCTAGACCATAGAATTTAAGTTTTACCAGAAGGGCATTGTGAGGAATGCAGTCAAAAGCACGTGACAAGTCGCAAAGAATACCGTGTGTTGACTTTTTGGACTCAAAAGACTTGATAATTTCACACACCAAGGACTCTACAGCTAATATTGTCGATTTGGCTTTCCTAAAGCCAAACTGTGAGGGAACTAGGAGATTGTTCTCCTCAAAGTAGGAATACATTTGAGAGAACATTACAGATTCCATAACTTTGGCAAAAACAGGTATGATAGACACAGGTCTGTAACTAGACAAACTTTCACGGGGACCTTTTTTATAAATTGGGACTGTTTTAGCTACTTTTAGGGCATCTGGGAAACAACCAGTTGCAAGACAGTTGTTTATCAGAATTGTGAGCTCAGGTGCAACTGTGTGTATAACTTGCTTAACAATATCTGTTGACAAATCATAAACATCCCTACTTTTAGAGGCTTTGAAGTTGTGAACAATCTTTACAATATCATTTGGTTTTGTGGGAGTGAAAGAGAAACTTGTGTTTCCCTGGGAATATTAACAGTAAAATTGGAATCTACAAAAGGTATATCAGGTATTTTCCCAACAATATCGTTGACACTTTGGATAAAAAATACATTAAAATCAGTTGCTGAGAACTTCGACTCCAAGTTCACTGTTGGTCGAGGTCTGCTGTGATTAATCAAACTCCAAGCTGCCTTACATGGGTTGGATGAGCCTGTGATGAAAGCAGCGTTTGCAGAAATTTTTGCGCTTTTAATACCGTGGCGATACTCCCTGCGCAGACTTCTTACCAAGGGCAGTAACTCAGGCTGACTCGTGGACTGCTCATGGACCAGCATGATCCAGTTCTTCAGATGAGCTAAATCCTCATTATACCAATCAATCTTGCTAGGTGTAGCGTGCAATTTAGTTTTAGGCTGTGAGATTCTTTTTTTCTTTAGAGGAAAACAGAAATCAAAAATACATTTAAAACTATTTAGGAAAAACTCAAAACAGTCTTCGGGTGAAGAAAACATAGTGTGGGCCAAGTGTAAGCCACTAACAGCCCTTGACTGCAACGATTCAGTAAAATTTAGTACTGCATCGTCATTAAAAGATCTGAAATCAACAAACTTGTCTACAGAACAAAGACTATTTTTATGTACACGGTGAAGGTTTATGTACATAAATACATGTTTGTGATCAGCCACCTGATCTCTGCTTACACCTGCTTTAAAATCAGTCTTACACATGTTAGTAAATATATTGTCTAGAGGAGCAACACCACGAGTGGCCTCGGATATCACACCGTACAAATCAAAGCTTCGCAATAGGTTCTCGAAGTCCTTGGCATCACTGGGGAAATAGACAGGGTTCACATTATGATCGGTACCTATTATCACATACCTCCCTAATGTCAACAAAAATACTAAACATTTTTCCAGTATATCAAAGAAATTACCCATTTTACCGCTTGGTGATCGGTACATAGTTACAACCACCAATGACAAGTCTGTAATAATTGAAGCAGAAAATTCAACCTCTTTATCAATTCAAAATTCAACCTCTGGGTCGGTATCAGGTATGGAAGTGACTGTCCTATGGTCGCCACGGACTCTCTGTGTAGCGAGGCAGTTGTAAGCATGCGCGACTGGCAAGCGCAGGCGCGAGAATCGGGAGCATGCGCGAGTTGCACGTGCATGTTGAGGAAGCGGGAAATTAAAATCGTATTTGCCTCAATACTTGTCTTGCTTGTCTATATTTTGTCTATTGTTGATATTTAACAAAAAAATTTTACCATTATTTTAGCATGTTACATTTGCAATCGTGGTAAGTGCTCAGGGTATTGTCCGGTTTGCAGGAAATGATAACGAGTCATGGCGTTCACAGGGATGTTCTCGAAATCACAGTAGACAATGATAATGTCTTAGCATCCACGGGGTTGTTAAGAATTTTGTCGCATACGCAAAAGTCGATGATGATGTCTTGGTGTTCACGGGTTATGCTATTAAATCCGCAACAATACAATTATGTCTTCGAAGTAGCAGGTTTGTTTAAAAATTTCCTGCAATCGTAAGAGAGGATAGCATGTCTATGCGATTGCGGGAGATGTTGAAGACAATTTTAAGGTTAGATCCTACCATTTTACGTAGAGGGCAATTTACTGATTTGTTTCCTTTTTAACTTATTCAAACTATATAAATTGGTATTAACACAAATTTATACATTCAACATAATTCGGAGGCTAATATCAAAAATGCTATTTAAACTCTTGCTTGACCAAATAAAACCATCTATTAGAAACCTAATACACTTAGGCTAGCCTGTAGTATCTTGATTAAAGAATAAAGCACAAATAATATAATTCCCCTTAAAAAGAAATTGAGAAAAATACATTTGGTAAACACTCTCAAACCTCACTAATTCGAAACCATTGACTATAAATATTGGGTACATAAATCACTTAAATGGGACACGCTTAAAACGAGCTTCAAAATTTACAATAGGATAAAAAGAAAATAAATAATACATACATATGATTTAAATTCAATGTTAGAACCATTGATTATACAACTAAAGTGTAATTTTAAGGCGGGTTGTGGAATAAAGCTTAGAATATCAGATTAAGGCCACACTGGATTCAATCTAGTTCATATGGACTGAAGTGGATCTAGTACAACACATTCTGAAGTAGACAAAATGTTCTTTATTCAGTCGAATGTGACTGCTTCCTCAAAATAAAAGTTACTAAAGTGGAATAAACTTGCAGGGTTAAGTAAGTTTAGGAAAATACATAAATTTTTCAATTTGTGTCAGTTGAGTAATTATTTTAGTAATTACTTTATTGCCTTAACTAATTATTTGGCAAGAGTGTAGGCCAAGCCCAACATTATTACATGATAGGCCTCCCCAATAGTTAAACATTTTTTATGTCCGAGGAAGGGGGGCACCCCCCATACCCCCTGGCTGGATTCGCCACTGTATTGGGCAAGTATTATCTAATGTTACATATTATAGTTTAGTTTGATAATGCAGTGACGATTTTTAATGTCTTGTGTTATAGATTTGGACATGTCTTTATGGCTGAGACTGGAACTTCAGTTGGTGAAATATCTGGGCAGTCAAAGCCCATCAATTCCTGTGACTTTAGACCTGCCAGACCATTCAGGATTGTAACTGGGAGTGAAGACAACACAATTGGTGTCTTTGAAGGACCCCCTTTCAAGTTCAAAATGACTAAACAGGTGAGTAAGTTCCTTCACTTGATCAGTTTTAGTCGTTCTGTCAGTCGGTTTTAGAACCAACTGAGAACAAAATGGCCGGCTTGGTTGGGTTTTGTTGCTACTTGTTCAGTGTCGATTGAACGGGGAATTGAGATTGGAACCGGAACTTTGGATTGACTTAAATTTGGAGGTAGGATATTGCTTAAGTTGATTAAGGTTAAAATTGGACAGCTGACACCTAAAAACTACTTGTGTACTCTGGTTTGCTGTTGACTGGTACATGTTAGGAACCTGACTATAGTAACTTATAACTTGGTGTTAGGCTTTAGGCATATTAGTGTAGGTCGCATTTGAACCCTATCTTGGCTATCAGTAAATTTAACCTTCACAGTGTGAGTTGTTACTTGTAATAGTAATACAGTGTGGCCACCTACCTGGAAAACTGGGAATTATGGGTGAGTTTCGTATTGTACCGGGAGTTTTCAATTTGCCTCAATTGCACATGAAGATGACGTTTCCGTGACCGGGGGAGACGATGATGATGTCCAAACAGCCGTGGGATTTGTTAGTGATTTTACCCTTATTGCAGGAGACAACGATTACGTTTCCGTAACCGCGGGTGACGACGAGACATGTTCAGGATTTTCAAGTTATCTCGGAAAACGATGATGGTGTCTCTACGACTGTGGTAGATGATCACGATATAACCTCGAGTTTGGCATGACCAAAAATTTCTAAATAGCACATTTAAAAAGTTGTATTTTTATGTTTTTGTAATATCTTCATTTACCTTTAATGTGGTATTTATTTAATGTGTTTCAAAGGGTTTGAAACTTGAATTGGCTGTGTGAAATTTTTGAAATTTCCAAATGAATTATTACTGTAGGCCACTGGAAAAACAACCCATAACTTCAAAATTATATACTGTATGCAAGTACATAACGACAGGGGTTGGTGTAGTAATCCTTACAGAAAATTTGGTAAAATTAAAATTATTAGTACCGGTATTAAGAATCTTTTTTCAGGTGTCTCTGTACGGGGATTCAATAAATTTTAGTCGAGACTAATATTTATTGAATTGTCGAGATCGACATATCACTATTTTTTATAAGTTATTGATACATTGCAGGTTTAAGGATTAGTTTTTAATTTTCAGATGATTTAATCAGTAATACCCTATATACAAATTTCATACTTGTAGTAATATTACAGTAATTATAAATTTTGTTTCATTAACTGAGAATGCTTTTTCTGATAACCTAAATAGCAAACGGTGTTAAGCTTTAACATACAGACAGCGTAGCGTAGTGCAGCACATGTTTTAAATCAAAACCATGCATTGAAATGAGGTATGACATACTAGTAGTGTATTTCGGGGTAGCGTAGTGCAGTGCAGCGCAGCGTACAGCCGAGGAACAAATTATTTTGTTTTTCTCAGAGCGTATTGGAGTGCATTCGACTGCAGACAATAGAAAAGTTAATACTAGTCTCTCTTCTGCACCAATAAGGTCTCCTACAATTAGTTGTCTGCTTCGGGAATGTTGCTGGAAGTCAACAGTCCCGGAAGATCAAATAATTTATACCTGTGCCGCTAGGTCAAAAACTACAATGTTTGCAGTGTCTGTAGATCAAAAGTCCCAGTAAGTCAAATAATACAGTCCGAGCTAAAAACATGGTCTATGTTAAAGCAATTGACTTATTGGGAATTTGACCTAATGCAACAGCAGTTTTAATATAACGAAATACGGTAAAATACAAGTTCAGTTTCGCTGAGTCAACAGTGCCGGAAGATCAAAAGCAATAAAAGTGAACGTCGATTCAGTGTAAAGTAGACCTCCTGCAACGCTTACTACACCAACAAAACTCGTTTTTAGTTACTTCGTGTTTTGTCATAATTAGAATAGAGCTAAAATTATCATATTTGGTACATAGCTTATCTATTAATGCTTCTTGCCAACTGTTTGGTCAACACTGTAAATAGGTATAGCCTTTCGTCAAAATTTGTGGCATAAAATACCCGCAAGGACGATCTGAAAATTTCTGGTTATTATATACGTTTGTAAAAGGAGATCCATTTAATTTTAGAACTATTTTATGAGTTATAATGTAGTCTACATATAAACTGTGTAAATGTATTACGCCTCGGAAGGGTTGAAACCTGTCCAAACTATCATATATATTATTAAAACGTAAACGGGGTTTTTTCGAGATTCTGATTCAACCAGACGATGGATTTTCATTAGTTTTGTGTTGAAAGAAAGACAATTTTGAGAACTAGGGAATTTCAAAGCCATAATTTAAAATTAGTGTCCCAGTTTTTTATAAATTAAGTTTTAGTTTTTAAAAAGTCTAGCAGCCGATGCTAACCTTCTCCAATAAGTCAATGCTTCTAGCTAGCTTTTAGTACAATATAATTTGCTTAACATAACAGCTATAACAATCAGCATTTGTGACACAAATTCAGCATTTGGAAGAAAAAAATGCAAATACATACTTATGGTTGGCTTATTTATACTATGTGTAATGCTGACCATTGATACATTTAATTCTTCGGTACGAGGATGGCAGATTAATTAAATATGTATAGTAAAATACAGTAGTAGGATGTTCAAATTATTTTTTAAAGTATCCTTATATATAATACGTGAAGGCGATTTCTACAAAACACTACTCCTCCGTTAATAATGGACGGATTTTTACAAACGACGTGTCAAAATAAAGTATTTTTTGTGTAGACGCCACCAATTCCTGTAATAAAATTCCTCGGGTTTTGCCCCACAGAACATCAAAGTTGGAGTTTCTGCCATAAGATTAACATTGGGGAATTTAAATATTTAATTGGAAACTTTGTCCCCACTAATTTGAGAGAACGGCTAGGCGTAGAAACTTGGTAGAGGTGTCCAAAGAAAGGTCTTGGTCTGTAGATGAGTTTCCAAAAGAAAAACTAAGCAAAATCCCTTAGGACTCTGCCCCAGAAGGCTTTAAAGATCCCTCCACAGAGTTGTTTACATTTTGGCCATGTGAATAATACTTTTTAATAAAACAGCTGTTCATTTTTAAATTGTATTTCAAACAACACACATTTATTGGAAGTTACTGAATTCGTCTATGATTCTACCAAATAAGTATTTGCAACGTTATTTTCTGATTTTAAAATTGATTTTCTTCTTTATCATGTTATGTTTTGCAATATTACGTTCCATTACGAAATCAGTTGAAAATCCTTTTATAACAGCAATTCTTAAATTATTAAATTATTATTATACCTATTGTACAGGTTGGTGTCTGCCCTTTTCACCACTTTTGCCTACATTTGATCATATTATTCTACACATATCAAATATTTATGTAGTTATATCTGCTCTTATCGTGTCAAATAAAATCCAAACATAGAAACCTTGCCTTAATTGGTACCCATCTAGACAAATTATTTGCACCTTCCTATATTACAGACTTTGGCGCACTGGGTTGGTAACATTATTTAAAATAACATTTTGGCTGTAAAATATGGTACAAAAAGAAAATACTATTTAACTAGCTACTGTCATGACACAAAGATCATATTCCTTTTAAACTAGATCACATAATCCTTTACTTATAAAGGATTATTTACTTAAGGATTTACTTATAAAGGAAGTTGTTAATCAACGTATCTTAATACGTTGATTAACAATATGTAAACCTTAATATATACGCAACAGCCAATTTACAGTATTTTTGCTTTTTGGAAATGTCCCATTGCTATGTCATTTGCATTATTTGTTGCCAATGAAGCCGCAAGACCATATGAACTAGGAGGCCCCTAACAGTTCAAGAATAAATGCCAACTTCACTTCAAGTATTCCACTACACCTAACATTCCGTAGAGAGATTATATTGACAACTTTATGTTATTGATAAGGCTGAGACAACTAATTGACATCCCCCATGTCAAGGAATTCCAGCTTTAACAGTAACCCACAATCAATAACTCAAAACTGTGCTAGAGGGTTTATTCATTGGCACAAAAGTACGATATGAACTGACGCGACGTGACGAAGGAAAATCAAACTTACACTGAAACGGATATACCTCCCTTTGAAATTAGAATATGTCTTCCGAAAAAATATTTTCTTTTCAAATAAAATCATATTACACTGATGAAATCATGAAAGTAGGCCTATTTAACTACAAAAGATCCACCAATACGATTTTAATACTATCTAAAGGTTCTTCCATAGGAAGAGATGCCATATAACATACTAATAATAACTCCGATGACGTATTGTATGGGGAATATTTTCATTGAATGATCAACCAAATTTGGCAACTAACACAATTAATTAATATCATTATTGTTTTACACTTATTTCTCTTTAAACAATGCTAAATGCTCAAAATATTTACCGGTATATTTCACCCAATTTATCGCAGTTAGATGAATTAACGTAAACATTGAAAGTAACCGTCGTTTTCAACGGGATTCACCTAGTTCTTTGTAATCGTCGATTTGTTTTAGTCCAATATAATTTGTTTTAACTAACAGCTGGTTGAATGTGCTATGTATACTTATAAAAGGCAAAGCCCTCACTGACACACTCACTCTGACTCACTCATCATCACTAATTCTCCCACTTCCCATTTACCTAGGAGGCTGAAATTCGATACACCGATTATTTGAGCATTAAATAGGAAAACTCAGTAATTTTTATCATGATAGGGCATTCGAGCTTCGCCCCAGTGGCTCTGGAGTTTCCCATGTTAACCTTATGATTTTTCATATTTAAAAGGAATTAATGAATCTTAACAGCTGTGTCAATTAAACAATGTATGACAACAGCTAATTTGCAACCAAAAGCTGAGTGAGCGTTTCGAACGAACTTCAACCTGGAGGCGAGTTAACCCCAAGGCAAGTGAGCTCAGCGAACGAGCTCCAACCTAAACAGGACGTGATTGAGCCATGCGAACGAGCTCATCTTGAAAATTAATTAGTTAAACGGGGCAAAGCCAACGGGTACAGCTAGTTATTCTATAGAATTATTAGGTTTTTAGCGAATTTCGCATATAGGGAATAAGCTATTACCGTAGTACTCATGGCAACACCTGGACCCGGGACCGATGTAATTTTTCGTTTTGAGTCCCTAAAGGCCAAAAACACCATCCGTTCAAATTCATATATATGTAAGTGTATAAGACATTTTGGGGACTTGACTTTTTCGGGTCTCAAGAATTTATACGAAAATACACTATTGCAATATTTTGAGGACTTGAATTTTCGTATGTGTATAAGACATTCTGGGCACTTGACTTTTTCGGGACTCGAGAATTTAGTACTTTTCGAGGACCTGTGCAAATTATTCCATTCCAAATGCAGCGCGTTATCGATCTTCACCCTTGTGTGGGCCTCCCATTCACTGACGGAATGTCTCGTGGCGTATGACGACCGGATATAAATAGTCACTTTACACTCACTTATCTCGTTATTTTTTTCAGCATATTCGTTGACCCGTCTGCAGGTCTTATGTTGACGGGCTGTCTGAGCGTCTGTTGTAATAACAGGAATTCCTTATGTATGTTTGCTGCTGATTACGGTGAAGTATTGTTAGAAATTCCACCTAATCTTTAGTTACCCATTAAATTCATAGAAATAATAATATTTAACTGTTTGACGAGTACCCCTATTGTATTCAAAATACTAAACGGCCCAACCCAATATTTAATACAAGCCAAAGGTGTCTTATAGATTCCGAGTAAATTATTATAAACTATCAAATGGAGCATGTAAAGTGCATTATAAATAATCAACAAACCCTAACATAATTGACTATTGATTCAGTTACTGATTCGGGAATTACAATTGCTGATGATAACTGAATGCTCTGACCTGAAGCAGCGTTCTTCTTTACTTCTTTACCTATAAGACACATGGGATACAGTCTTTCTTCACTGATCACGTAATGCGTGATTTTCTATAAAGTCTTGGAAAAATAAAAGGAAAATAGATAGAATACAGGTTTACTGTATGTGGTTTACACACAAATATTCATCAAACTGTGTGATAGTTTGTTATAGCAATGAACAATTTGAGAGTATAGTTTTGTTTAAGTCGATGGAAAATCTCTGTTGATCCTGTTTTACAAGCAAACCAAAAAGATACAGTAGTCACCACTCTATTCTAACCAGAAAATTGTAATCATATGATTCTATAAGCATTGGTAGGATTATAGAATAGGTAGGATTATAGCAAACTCAAACGATCATGATGATGATAACGTTAATGATGTCGCTAAAATGTATCGTTTGAAATTTAACAGCTGAAAATAAGTGAAATAGAAAAGGTTTTGGTTCAATCCATCAAATTGTAATTGGACACTAGTAAATACTAGTGCACTTGTTGCTACCTCCCCCCTTCGGTTTCATGTATTCCTCTCAATCAGTTCAAACCTAAGAGGATTAAACATTAATGTTACCTAATTAATGTTAAATCCTCCTAGATTCAAACCTGAAACACCCAGATCGAAACTCGCCTGTCATTATTTTACCATCGCCTTTTTTTTAAATATATTTTTCAAAAAAGAAAGATTATATTGATTTACTTTGGATTTTAAAAATGTTAACGTTTTATTTTGTTAAAGATTTATGGTGATACGTAAATATTGTGGTGTAGTAAAGTATATTATATTTTAGTTAAGTGTTAAATTTTGAAATTTTAGGGTGAATCGAGATGAATCTTTTTTTATAACATGGGTCTCTCCTACCTTAACATACATACCTAGTTTCATAAACATCGGTTGGAAAAGTGCAAAGATAAATATTTGTATGTAAAAAATACAAAATGGTGGATATCTGGTTAACAAAACGATTTTTGAAAAAATGTTATCCTTGATTTTCTGTTTATTTTGACCCAAGGAATTACTAGGTAAAGTATCTCCCCGCTTATTTTTAACACCCTGTTTATGATGTATTCTTATAAGTGAAAAATGTAAGCTGGTAATACAGAAAGATGTTAAAAATAATATGAATGTACTGGTGATCTGTATATTCATCTTTTTCTTGTTCTTAGAACTGTAAATTAAAAGTCCAATCAGCAGTCGCATCGTACGATGTAGTTCTTTCCATGCGTTGCGAAATGCTAAATTTGCCGTCCTCTTCAACCCAAGTTATCTATTGAACCACTGATTGTAAAAAATTCCAAAAACAATATATTTTACGCATCACACTTTTGGCTACAACTTTGCCACAGACAAAACCTCTCTAACCCAAAAACAAAAAAAATCTCGCATGCTAACTTTTTCATGTTAGAAATCACGATTTAAAACTATTTCACCATACATATCAATTTTTATTAATTAGATCGGTAAATAGTTTAAAGTTCCAACAAAATAGTCATCAAGTAGGACTAACCAAGAAGCTCTGTGCCAATTTTCAAAATTTTAGCACAACTTTAAGTACACCAAAACGCGAAATTATTGAAGTCATGCGTCGAGAGGACTATCGTTGTTTTTAACAGATTATACTTTTGACCTTCCGGCACTGTTGACTCAGCGAAACTGAACTTATATTTTATCTTATTTCGTTATATTAAAACTGCTGTTGCATTAGGTCAAATTCCCAATAAGTCAATTGCTTTAACATAGACCACGTTTTTAGCTCGGACTGTACTATTTGACTTACTGGGATTTTTGATCTACAGACACTGCAAACATTGTAGTTTTTGACCTAGCGGCACAGGTATAAATTATTTGACCTTCCGGGACTGTTGACTTTCTGCAACGCGTCCTCTGCTTCTCCAAATCAATCTTCACCAAACTAAATATGTAATCAAACGTTGTAGTCAACATTCTTGTGTAATTCATAAACCGAGACTCTTGTTTCCTAAGGAATGGAAATAGTGGTGATATTCACCATGTTTGTCCCTGCCTTTACACACTTCATGCACCCTGACATTTCTCCTTCTGATTAAAAACTGATGGCTAAAGGTATTTTCGACAAGACTAATACAAGCTGACTTTTACAGATACTGTATTTACAAATTAGTTATCGTTAGTGTTGCACCTTATTTATTACAGTAGTATTCAATTTAACAGATGTCTTACTGTATAAGTTTTGCTTTTTCTTTATATTATATTAGGTCTGAAAATATGCAAACCAACTGCTGCTCTTTATACAGTATAATAAGGTTTCAACTGACTACTATAAGATCCCCGTGCGTAGAACGGGCACACAGCTAGTTTATAATAAAATTTAAAATATTATTCTTATGGTGCACTGATATTGTGCATTTTCTATTATATTTTGTATCATTTTGTATAAGTTCAATATCAGGCATCAACGTCTTGTGCTCAAAGACACTTGAATGGTTGTCCTATTGTTTTCCTGGTATCACAGTTATTTGTTTAGACGATGACTAACCCTATCAACATCTTCGGTACTTTGGTATTATACCGACCACACCAATAAATCGACTTCCAAATAAGATTTTAATAAGTTTAAATAACAAAAACTTCTTAACCTTACCTAAAACATAGTCCACCCAAGATCTCTTTAAGTAATATGTATTACTGTACCAGCGTTTTATATATCGTAGTATATTGCACTTAAAATATATATGCAAAAGTCTAATTCATTAACCTCAAGGCACCAAGAAACAAATCTATATTTATGAAAGAGGATGTTTGTATGTTTGAACGTTATGAGCTCGGACACCGTTGGACCGATTGCCACGAAACTTGGTACATACGTGTAGAATATCATGGAATAGGTTTATACACCACCAATTTCGTGATCCGTCCAATCGGCTCCGCCCCAGTGGCTCTAGAGTTTCCCCATGTTAAGCTTATGAGTACTTGTATTTAAATGGATTCAAAGAATCTTAACAGCTGGTTCAACTAAACAATTTGATTCTGTTATGTTCAATAGCATTAAAAATTTAATAGGTTTACCAAAAGGGTGCAGCACTATTATTTTCTTTTAATTTATGACAACAGCTAATTTGCAAGCAAAAGGTGAGTGAGCCTAGCGAACGAACTTCAACCTAGAGGTGAGTTAGCTAGCGAACGAGCTAAACCTGAAGGCAAGTGAGCGCAGCGAGCGAGCTCCAACCTAAAGGCGAAAAAGCGTAGCAAACGAACTTCAACCAGGACGTGATTGGGCGATGCGAACGAGCTCATCTTGAAAATGAATGAGCAGTTGACATAAAACCACATTTGGACAGGACGATGTCTGTCGGGCCAGCTAGTATTTATATAAACAAAACAATAGCTAAACCAAACATAACATTAATTTACATCACCTGTTTTAAATTTTACTTTTATATGTTTTGTTAGTAAAAAAAACCTTACTTAAAGTCTTTCAAAATCCCTGACATGGGTATCGTGGCTCAGCTAAGCCCTGAAAGTTGATGAAATTGATGGTGTATAAACCTACCCCATGAAACATGGATGTACCAAGCTTCGTGGCCATCGATCGAGCAATATCTGAGCTCATCACTGCCAAATATATATTCCAACAAATATCCAAATATAAACTAACAGCCTCTTTTATACTATAGACGCTAAACAATTAAATACTGGATATCATCAAACAAGCAGCAAAGTGTATAAAAAAGGGTGGTAATCACAAAGGTTGATTATTAAAATTTGTTTGTCAATGCCATTAATTAAGCTAATCAATAAAGTTTGTAATAGAAAACTTACTTCATATTCCTATACTTGTTGGATGGGTTTTTATTGGGTTTTGGTTTAATGTTGCAAATTGTTTCAGGAACATTCAAGATTTGTCCAAGCAGTTCGTTACTCCCCCAATGGAAGCCATTTTGCATCTGCAGGTTTTGACGGCAAAGTGTTCATTTATGATGGAACGTCAGCTGATTTGGTTGGTGAAGTAGGCAATCCAGCTCATAAAGGAGGAGTTTATGGTGTAAGTGATTTCTGGTTGTTTGTCATTTATGACAAAAACTAATTTATAAAAATTAAAATCATTAATTAAAAATGTATAAGTGTTATAAATAAAATAAAAATAAAATTTTGCAAAGTTTCCCCGATAGTAGTTCTTGGCAGCTTTTTAAGGTAGTAGTAAGTACGTTAAATTCATCAAGTTTATTGTTCTCTGTTGATCTTTACTGTAATTAAAAATTATGTAATTTAAACTGTTAGCCTTGAATGACAAAATGTTACAGTATTTTATTTTTTCTTGATTCTGTCCAGTGATTCAGTAACAACTTCTACGGCCACATGACAATTAGTTTGGCAACTTTGTTGTCTTTTTTAGATCTTTGTCAATAATAAACAACTAGCTTCGCTGATATTCAGGTGTTCAAAATATCAAATACTTGCACACAAACATTTTAAATACTTGCACACAAACATTAAGAGATAAATTAAATACTTGACTCATGACAACTGCTGTGGCCATACGGACACATTGCTCGGATGACATGTCCGGACTCAACTATCGTTGTCAAGTTTTTAATGTTTAGTTTATGTCTCAATGTTAGAGTTTAGGTATTTTATGTTTTAATAACGTCAACATGAGAAAATATTGTTCACAAGTATTTTAAACAATCGTCTTCTACCTATAGTGGAGGTTACTGAATCACTGGGCCGAATCAAGATAATTTTTTTTTTTCAAAAATAAATAGTGTAGTCAGTTTGGCCAAGACATCTATTACTGTGTTGCAGGTTGCATGGAAACCAGATGGCACTCAGCTGTTGACAGTGTCGGGTGACAAGACTTGCAAGCTGTGGGATGTGGAGACTCGCTCTGTGGTGTCAGAGTTTGTTATGGGATCACAGGTGGAGGATCAGCAAGTGAGTTGAGGCACTGTTGTGTGTCAAATAAATGTTACGAGTTACGACGTACTTAGCCAAATAATTTTTAACCTAAGAAATTATTATGGATAACTTCTTTTGAGGTTGATAAATTAAGTTAATTTTTATTTATTTTTATTTTATCTAGTATACCTGACTAGTTTGAAACTGCCTACCCACCAGGCAATAATTAAAAAAAATCTCACTGTACTGTTTTTTTTTTACCTGTTGCAGGGTTATGAGGTAATTTTGTGGGTCGGGGGGTAGACCCAGACCCAAACCTCTAGTGGCCTGGCAAGAACATAGATATCTAATCCTAGTCTATAATCTATAATCATTGGTTATAGGTTGTAGGTTTCAAACATAACAAATTATAATAGGCCTATTACACTATTTTGATTGTGTTTGGTGGTAAACAAGTTTCAGGGAGAGTTAGCTGTTCAGTAAATGTAAGATATAATCCTTTTCCGAGGTATGGCTAGTTAACTCGTCAGCATTGGGAGTTAGAGCCTAGCCTAGCTTAATGTATTGGTGATGTTTTCTACACTTAACCCACAGATTACTTTTGGCCAATAATCCGTCTCCATGACGTGAGGAAATGTGGTGTGAGTAATATAAACCAACAACTTTATTGTTAAACTCAGTGTCTTGTAAGAACTGAATCAATATAACCCCCAATTAACAACAGTTTTAGCGGTTTTCGTCTGTTGTCGGATGATAAAATAGCTGACGGGTGGACTAAAGGATTCATGCAACCAAATCTTGATACTTGTAGGATGTTGAATAGAAATGGGAACACTATTACTGATCCAAGTGGCAGAGGAAATAATGGACATTTAGTTGTAGCATAGACTTTAAACTCAAACTCAAACTCTTTATTTGCCATAAAAAACATTACACATTTGAGCATAGCTCATGTAACAGATGACATGTCAATTATAACTAGAGTGTAAATTAGTTATTAAAATTAATTATAATTAATTAATTATTATAATTAATTGTTCAATCCCTTGGCCTACAAGCCCAAGGGATTGAATACAAAGTCGGAAAATGGAGCTCGAACGGAGCTTTTAGGATCGCAAACGTAAAACTCCTCTGCAAAGTTTGCGCAATAGAAAAATTCACACATTTTCAGCAAACCTGGAGGACTATGATGACGTTTCTATGACCGTAGGAGACGGTGATAATATTTACAAACTGTGGGAGATGTCCAGTGTTTTGTCGAAATCGCGAAATACTATGATGATTTTGGATGATGATAATGATTCAGGATTTGGTACGATCGCTGAAGTGTGACCATGATAACGTTTCTGTGACTGCGGGAGAGGTTATGGTTTACAGCTTAACATTCATGTGGAAACCTGGAAAAACTTTTAAATCCAGGAAAAAACCTGGAATTTCACTTAAAAAAAAAATAGTACACACCTCCTTGCAGCACTAATAGTAAAAGGATATACTTACAAATATCATTATAATCTCATGTTCACTTTTATTTTGAACTCAGTGGGCCTTTTCTGCATTATTTCTGCTTTGTTCTAGATTAATCATAAAGCAAAAACAAGGGAACAGCCGATAAATTACCTAACAATTTAGTATTGCATTATACTTATGTCTTCGTCGTTAAGTTTGCCAATATATTAGGCAAGCCAAAAGTAAAATTCGAGAAAGAAAGTTTAAAATATAGGGTTTGGCGCTACTTTGCTTGATTATACTTGTTTCAAATCCACTTTTTCATAATCCAGTGTGATGATAGTGTATTGAAATAATCGATCGTAATGCGAATCGTTGATATGTAGTATATCCACCATTTTTAAAGTATTTATTTGTTGATTTGATTATTTTTGACGGTGATAACGCTCTTATGAATGGTTTGTTGTTTGTCATAGACAATTGCTCGTCAACTGCTGTTACGTCGTTGGAAACATAACGTAATTTGACATCTTGGGAAAACCAATGATAATTATGAAGATTTTGTATCCATTCGAAAACATCAAAATATATAGTGTTCCCGAAAAAATCTGATATTTAACGTTTAGTGGTGATATCCACATATGCAAATCAAACCAAATGAGATCTAAATTCATTCGGATATCTGCACCCTCATTATTCAATAAAAATGTTGCTAAACAGAGTCACTAGATAGTGTGTGTGTTTGCCCACAGGTGTCGTGTTTGTGGCAAGGTCAACATCTCCTGACTGTGTCTCTCAGTGGCTTCATCTCCTACCTGGACGTCAACAACCCAGACAAACCAATCAGGGTGGTTAAGGTAAGCATTTCAAGGCACATTTTCATATTTATTACGTGAACAAACTAGTTTTAAATTTCCATTTACAGAACATAAATATTATCCAGTTACTTTAGTAAGCGAGATCATTGTACAACTAATTAGCAAATTCACACATTTTCAACTGATAAAAACTTGTTCAATTTTATCAAGTTTAAAAAAGTGAGTTATTGCGTTCATGGACACATATATATATATATATATCTATATATAGATATATATACATATATAAACATTTGAACAAATAGTGTTTTGGTCTCTGGGGACATCAAAATGACAAAAGTAAATTGGTCTCAAGCTTAAGTATTACCATGAGACCTACGGTAATAGCTACTTCCCTACAGGGAAAATCGCTAACAGAATTTTAGTGGTGAATAGTATTTTTATGAAATCACTTATTTTCAGGGACACAACAAGCCCATAACAGTGTTGACTCTGAGTCCAGATCGCAGCACAATCTACACTGGCTCTCACGATGGTTTCATAACAACCTGGGATGCTAAGACAGGTAGGTTCGTTCTTTGAATAGGATCCTGAACAAGACAAAAATGTTACTGAAATTCAATTCATAGCAAGTTATGATGAAGGTCATGGAAATTTTTTATAAATCTAAACCAAACTGTTGGATGGAGACCAAATTAAACTAGTTATATAATTCATTTTAAAACATTGTTATTTATCATGTTGATCAATAGGTGAGACGGAGAGAGTAGCAGGATTAGGCCACGGAAATCAAATAAACAGCATGAGAGCAGTGAACGGCCTGATGTACACTTGTGGCATTGATGACAGTGTGAAGCAGGTGGACACTGCTATCAAGGCGTACACCAGTGTCAACGTACAGCTGGGATCCCAACCTCGGGGCATGGATGTTAAGGGAGACGTCATAGTAGCTGCCACCATCAAGGAGGTGAACACCTCCTTATTATATGATCTAATATTATCTATATATTAATAAGCAAGCAGTTTTCTTTTCACAGTCATAACTCGATAACGGCTTGACGGATTTTAACCTTTGAGGTGTCAAATTTAAGGTATTTTTACGTATATGTATGTGCAAATACGTCAGAATATTAAGAAAGGGCATCACAGTTCAGGGATAAAGTTTGGGATTGGCGGCGTTATCTGTTGACATTAGATCAAACTCAATTCCCTTTGTTTACAACTAAACATATGGACGTAGTTTGAAATAGTTTTTAAGGTTAACCACGGACTGCAGGACTTATTTCTTCCGGACCAAAGCCGGAATTTATATTTTTATTTAAACATCTGTTAATTATCATGTTTGTTTGGTCACAGTTCGGTGTGATAAAATGAATGAAAGTGATTATTTAAATTGCAGTTACCCGTTACATTACCATATCATGTAATTTACAATGTATATCAAAATTCTGTTGCAGTGTTTTCTGTTGTTTGGTTAACTTTCATATTTGATCTAAATTTAAAATTAAATACCACTAGTAAGACAAAGAACTGTGAGTGGCTGGAGGAAACGCGAATGTGGCCGCTTCCATCAACCTCCCAATGGAATATATTTGAAGATTACAGAGTGGCAGTATCGCCACAGTGATACATCCAACCTCAGACAAATGAATGTTAAATTTTTACATTGTGGTGGCTTACATTTTAAGCAAACAAAGACTGGCCTAGACAGTTCAATTATTACTCTTTGTTTCCGTAAATGAGAGAACCGTGTACCTCATCTGCAGAACTCACCATACTTTCAGGAACTTATTGTAAACTCCCAATCTGAAAACAGGGTTGTGAGGCTTAGATCTAGAAATTATTTGGATAAAATTCTTTAATTTAATTCTGCCTTTGCCATGGTCAGCTCTGAAGCTTATTTAGATTAGAAGATCACACAGGGGATCTAAAATTTCAAGATCCATGACATGTTTTACCTCTGAGTAGGTAATATAATTCCTTAAGAAGGTCATCCTGAACACGCACAGATGTATAAGTATGACGTTGGCACTGGAACCCAACAGCGTATAAAACACAATTCAAAGAAAAAATTCAATGAAAAAATATGCGGGAAATATGGTCACATTGCCAACCCATTTGCCCAATCTTAAAAAAACTGTGGCAGAAATTTTAAAAGACAAGAGCTCCGAGGAGTCTAGTGAGATTCTTATGTACATAATAAGAAGCAAAAGAAGTGACTTCCCTCGCTACAATGATGCTACCTGTATAGATGTTGCAGCTATTTTTAAAGCTGAAAACAGAGCACCACCTGGCCAAATAAATCTTAGTTTCTTTTTCAAAAACTAATAATGTTAAACGAGAATCCGTTCTAGATCCGTCGTTAGATCCACTTGCTTACCCTCTAATGTTCTCAACCGGAGACTTTGGTCTGGGCCCCTAATTTAAACACGCCTAAAACGGAATTAATCCTAGAAATAATTTAATTTAACAATGCTATAGTATGAGTTGTACTGGTTGGCGTTAAGAGAGGGCTTGTTACATTAGGTCTGAAAAGCTCACTTTATAGTGTGTGGTTGACATCTATGTTTGTCATAGAGTTCACCCGCCTACTGTACATAAGAGATAACCAAAGCAGTATGAGAGCGGATCTATATTTAAATATTGTAGGTTACTTTTAAAATGTTTTAAAACATAGTATTTTGATATTTCTAAACAGTCATAGACTTTAGAATGACTCTTTGATTGGGGTCTTGCTGTTTAAGTTTTTGTTGTTTATTTTTTTATTACAAGTTGCAGTTTTGCTCGATTTCGAGCAACAGTTAATCTAGTGATAATTTAAGATATACTTTGTCTGATCAATTTGTTTTTCATATTCGTTCCATAAACTCTTGTTTTCTTTACAATACAAGTACAGTAGACTCCCTCTAGTTCGGCTTCGTTTGGATCGGCCGTCGGATGGTCCGGCCCGGTCTCAGGGGGACAAGTCATATCGTCACGGGCGAATGACCTTCGGCAGGATTCAACTTGAATGTTTAGTTTCCGGCCATAGTAGTAAACAATTCATGTCAGTTTATTTGACGGTTGCTTCTATGGGTGAATTATTGCATATTACCTACATAAAACTATGTTACATAACCTCAAAAATACCAAGAACATTTTTATAAATAGTTTTTGAACCACCACGGTTTATTTGACAAAAATAAATTAAAACAAAACAAAGAAATAGCCATCATTAGCTTCAAGGTCAAGCTATACGCTTGCGCTGAAAATCATCTGCTGCTCTTTACACAACTTATGTCTGATGTGCGCTTGCTATCTCACAACAGTTTGTGATTGGGTGATTAGTAACCATGGCAACTAGTTTAATGTGTTGATGAAGAGAAACCAAAGAAAGAATAAAAGAACAAAGAAGAAAGAATAAGTAGTGTTTTACATCATCCATTTCTATCTTTATCCTATTTTACGACTGTCGTTATTATCTTTATGACTAAGTACTATGATTTTATGAGTTATGTAATGTTTTTATTGACATTCTTAATGTTCTGAAACAATATGTAGTAGTGGCCTATGCTGACTACGGTAGTTGTAGCTTGCAGTACTAGACTTTCTATTGTTCTGTTCTTTACGTGATTTATTGCTGTACGTACAGTGTTGTGTAATTTTTGTTTTGCTTAAGTAAGTGTGATTTTAAACCTTATAGTTTTGATTACTGAACCAAGGTTAATGACTTAACATATTATAATTGCGCAACAATATTTAGTCCGGCCAGTGGTCCGGTCCCGAGGTGGCTGAACTAGAGGGAGTCTACTGTAGTACAAATTAAAATTCTGGTACTTATTAAAATCATTATTTGTTTACTAAAATTAGAACCTTTAAAATCTTTCACTTTATATATCTTCTAAAACAAAATTGCAATATTTACGTGATTTCAGATTTGTGTGCTACAAAATGAGCGCAAAGTGGCCAGTATTCCTGTGACGTACGAACCGTCATGTGTCTCCATTGGTGGTGATGAGCCTTTTGTGGCTGTTGGTGGGACTGTCGACAACAAGGTAACTGATATAACAACCAGTGATGTGTAAAATCCTGCTCTTAATAACTCTACTCATTCCAGGAAAAGATTTTGATTTGAGAATAAATTGGTGCTGGATCTAAATATCAAATTCATATGTGTCAAATACACTATTACAGCCCTTACATTCACAAAATGCATTGAATGTAATGAAATTTAAGAATGTTTGAGTTCCAACAATATGAAAACTATTAAATGTTTCTATTTATTTTTTCAGGCAGGACTTTGTAAAGTGAACATTTTTCTTTTGTTAATAATAGATGTATCATCATGATTGTGAGGTATAAAATCAGGGTGTTTTTGTTGCTGCAAAAATGCTCCTAATATTTCTGTGATTCTTTTGTAAATTTTTTGAATCATAGGTTTTAGAATTTATTTAACGCAAAGTTGATCATAGTAAATGTCAGAATCAATTCTCTTACAGGGTGTCTACCAACCGGGAAATCCAGGAAAACCGGGAATTGTACTTAATTTTTTACTGGCCATGAAATGTACGGGAATTGTCCTTAAATGCCAGACTATGTCCTTAAATTTTTAATGGGCCATAATTTTATTGATCGCTAGTTGGTTAGGAGCACATAAAAGGTTTATCAGATGTTTATTTACATTTTCATAATTTATTACTAGAGTATTTATGCAATAAAAATCCCATTAGCAATCTCAAACCCATTAATATTTTATCACGACAATCAAGTGTCAAGTCAAGTACTTCCAAGAACTGTTGACTCAGCAGCTAGCTCATAAAAGTTGTATCACTTTTATTCCTTTACAACTTCTTTTTTTATTACTAGGGTAATTATTATTAGATCCCAAACCTATTTTATCGTGAAAATAATAGCTTTATAATGGCTGTTAAATTTCACTTCTTACTCATACTTTAGGCTTGAAGATTCAATTTGCCGCGGCCATTGCCTAGTGCCATAAAACTGTTTATGGTTTCATATTAAACATGTAAATAATCTACAGTCTTATTTTGTAAGTTAACCCCTTTTTTATGGATATTTTATCTTTCAATTGACAAAACCACAAGCAATGTTGTTTGCATTAATGTTTTATCACTTGGTTTTTTTTTTTAGGCCTGCTTGGTTTCAAATTATGTCATTGCATTTTCTGTATCTTTGTCTTATATTGTTGGCTATTCAGGTTTCAATGTTTTTTGTTTCCCATATATTTATTTATTGAGTTGTATGCTTTAAGCAATCTAAATATTATGAACTAGAATGATGATAGTGACTTTGCTGCTATTATAACCTCATTGTTTGTTACTCAGTTTATATAGGCCCTCCTAAATAATTAGGTCTAGGCCTGGGTATTTTGATTCTTGAAAGAGCTGTAAAATATATTAAGAAAATGTAATTGAGCCCAAGATAAACAACTAATGATTGCTATGTGTCGATATTAACTTTGCAAATGAAAATACAATAATCTTACTCTGTGCTTATTGCTTATTGGTAGCCGCTTACCATACCTTGATTTTTTACTAAGAACTGAGTAACAATATGCATTAAAGATTTTTTTTTTTCAAAAGTAGTCGAGAACCTAACGTTGTGCCAGGGCGAATCATGCCAAATTAATCCGCCTGGATCGGATAAGCTATGTTATGAAGTTTACGTGACCGATGGAGATATTTGTCGCTATCGCAGGAGACAATGATTGCATTTCTCTGTTACACTATAAAAGCTTTACCTAAAGTATAGGTAGGCCTATGTTTGTTTACTTTCAATAAATTTCTATTTTGAAATTTTTAACTCTTATCTATTATTGTTTACTTTTCTCTCTGGTGCAACTACAGTGAAAAAACAAGATTAATACAGTTTGACAAATCAAAATTATTCGGTAGGCCTAATGACACCGACAAAGGTTACGGCAAAGTGTCCTTAAATGTACGGGAATTGTCCATGAATTTTTTATCCAGAATGTAGTAGACACCCTGTCTTAGTAGACGCTGATATGGACGTTGTCATAAATCTTACAAAATTATACTTTGACTCGAGATTTGTGATTCAAGACTCAAAACTTGTAAGATTTGAAATCTCTGAATTTAAACATTGTTTTACGTCAAAAATAGGGAGTACAGCCATCTGAAAGTGCTGAAAACAGATAGATATTTTTTCTAAGGATTCATAGTTTGAATTTACCATATTTGGTGTATGTCATTGTACCAGGTGCACGTGTACAAGTTGTCTGGCACCTCGCTCAGTGAACACAAGGAGTGCGATCATCTAGGACCTGTCACAGACTGCAGCTTCTCACCAGATGGACAATACTTGGTGGCGTGTGATGCTAACCGCAAAGTCATCCTTTACAAAGTTCCTGAGTTTGAGGTAATCACTTATAATCTCACCATCTGAGGCTTATTACAATAACATTTCTAATCCCACGGTGCCCTAGATATTTAAATTACAACCACTTTGGTGTAAAAAAAAAACATTTTGCGACGGTAAATAACTTTACAGTGGCTGTTTGAAATTAACAAAATGAACATTGCTCATGGTGGACAAATCCAAGATGTACTTCAGCCTCCATAGACTTCCTTGGAAAACAATTACAAAACTACAAAGACAAATTCTAATCTCACAGAGTTCTAGATATTTAAATTTCAATCAATTAAGCATTTGAAAAAAATATTTTGGGGTGATAAATAACTTTTTAGTAGCCGTTAAAAATTAACCCAAGATGGCTGCTAGCCTCCAAGTCCAAGGACTCTTAATCATACTCTACACTATTGGTTGATGAGATTTAAAAAAACGCTTCACACTAAACGCTTCATGTTGTCTTTTAAATGTTACCCTCTGAAGAAATTAAGTTAGTTGTAGATTAACATTTATTACATACATATTAGTACATGTATATCCACAAAGTTTAACCAGTTACTGTATTTAAATTAAAAACAAAGCTGTGCGTTCTGAAATACTAACTAGGGTAAACACATCCTCTCATAGACAGCTGATCCAGAAATCGGGAAAACGAGGAATTGTGAAATTTTATAACCAGGAAGAAGTTTCTGAATTTTGCATAAATTTTGTATTGAACTTTGAAATTTGGAATGACTGCTAGTAGGCTATAGCAGAGCGTCTATTCATTAACAGTATTCTGCTGGTTCTCTTTCATAGTCTTTGTTTTGTAAGAAGAACACAATAATGAGAGATGATCATAGGTATTGCTGTGATCATGGGATCATGATGTTGCCAAGATTGTGGGAGTCATATCACCACCATGAAAATGTGTTTTCATGACTGTTTAAAGTCATAATAGTACTTTTATTTTAATGCAATTTTACTACATTTCTGGCTAATTGGAATGGGGTTTTGTCCCAATTGGTGTAGATAAGCGTACGTACATAGATGGTGCATATAGCTTCTGAGAAAACTAGAAGCCCTGGGGGTTAGGGGAAAGGAAGCAGGATGGTTCAGAAGCAACCTGAAAGACAGAAAGCAGCTGGTTGAAATAAACTACATTTAAAACAACTCAAGAGGCAAAGCCCATTCATAAACTACCGATGAGGAGTGTCCCACAGGGGTCAGTACTGGGACCAGTATTGTTCGTACTCCTGACAAACGACCTGCCAGAAGATCTGCAAGGCCTGGAAAATAAAAACGAGACAAAGTACCTTGGCATGAACATTGACTCCAAACTAATATGGAAACATCACATAGACCAACTATGCAAAAAACTTTCTTCTGCCATTTTCGTCATCCGAAGGATAAAACAAATAAGTGGAACAGATGAAGCAAAGATTGCCATTTCTCTCTGTTTTAATTTCATCTGAGACATGACAGAGGTCTGGGGGGATCCACTGCGTTTAACCTAGAACACGTTCTCATCCAACAAAAGAGGGCAATCAGGTGTTTTTTTGGCATTGGACAACAAGACAGCTGCTGTGGACCGTTGAAGTGCAAAGAACAAAAAATACTCACTGTGGTGTCACTCCACATCCGTCTAACCATCCTACATGCAATAGCCACCCAACAAACCAGACATAGGGATCTACACCATCACAACACCAGACAACAGACATGCATTAAATTTCACCCTTTCAATCCACAAGCTATCACTTACTGAAAGAAAACCATCCTATAACATTTTTTTATATGCAAACATTTTGACCAACTATGAAATATGAATTGAGCCCATGGTAGGTGACTCATGGTCAAAACCCTGAGCAGCCGAGTGAGGGCTAATTTAGGGCCTGGGACATCACCCGACCGTCCTAATCCCTCAGTCGCTGCCTTGCGCAAAGTATAGCTTTATAACAGGTCTCTAATGGCAACAAATGGAGAGGGGTTGGAAATTGTATTTCTTAAGCTTACTAATGTAAGGTTTTGAATAATTTGTTGATTGTTTTGTTTTTAGACATAATGTATACCCTTCTTATATTTGTGTTTCTTATATTGTAGTTTAAACCACAATTTCTTGCCCTTCTTCCAAGTGTGTTTTGCTCTAAGCTGAGACACTGTGTAGTGTTGTGTAACATTTGAAATTATTGCTATACTGTACCAAGTTGCTATTAGTGATATAATTAATAGTAATGAGTAATAGTAACCCTTTGATGTTTTACTTTTGCCGCTTTTGGACCTATAGACTGTAAGTAAAAGTCATGCTTATTTTAAAATTACCTATTATTTAGATACCTTTACATAGTTTTATGTACAGTGTATTTTTATTGTAAAATAATAAAATTTGAATTGTAGTTTACTGTGTGTCTTTAGCATTGTTTTTATACAAAGATTAACTATAACGATAAACAGTAGTATTTGGGTAGAATTACATTAAAAAGTGACTTAAAGGTCCTTAAGAATTGCAACAGATTCTTCTTAAATCATTGACTAAAACATTTTACTTATTAATTTTTAAATGCAAACATATTTAATAGTGATGGACGAGACTAGATTTTTCACTTGGAGACGAGATTTATCAACTCCAGCAGGACGAAATTTAATGAAAAGTTATAAAAAAATTATTATCTAATTTTTAAGTTTAGAAATATTTACAAGTTTTAAAAACTTGGCAAAATATAGATAAAAATATTTAAAATCTTTTTATTTAAAAACATTAATAAAAACATCAGTATATAAAAAAATTATTAAGGCCTAACTTATTAAAAATAACTCGTTAGCATAGGAAACATGGAGATACCAGTTAGTTTATAGTTCAACTTTGAAAAATATCATAAATATATCATGTAAAAATAATAATTATCGTGCTCACAGTTGCTTTATTCCAGTCAAAAATTACAAAGTGAACTGGAAAACAATGCTACAGTTTTTGACTTTAGCAGATTAGAGGTACAGAAAAGATTTTATTTTTGACCGGGTCACAAGTAACGTTATTTTGTGTTATAGCTGGCACACAATAAAGAGTGGGGCTTCCACAACGCTAGAGTCAACTGTGTGGCTTGGTCTCCCAACTCTCAACAAGTAGCCAGTGGCAGTCTAGACACTACCATCATCATCCTGTAGAGTGGCCTTCTCTATCAAACACACTATCATCACAAGTAACATTATTTTGTGTTATAGCTGGCACACAATAAAGAGTGGGGCTTCCACAACGCTAGAGTCAACTGTGTGGCTTGGTCTCCCAACTCTCAACAAGTAGCCAGTGGCAGTCTAGACACTACCATCATCATCCTGTAGAGTGGCCTTCTCTATCAAACACACTATCATCACAAGTAACATTATTTTGTGTTATAGCTGGCACACAATAAAGAGTGGGGCTTCCACAACGCTAGAGTCAACTGTGTGGCTTGGTCTCCCAACTCTCAACAAGTAGCCAGTGGCAGTCTAGACACTACCATCATCATCCTGTAGAGTGGCCTTCTCTATCAAACACACTATCATCACAAGTAACATTATTTTGTGTTATAGCTGGCACACAATAAAGAGTGGGGCTTCCACAACGCTAGAGTCAACTGTGTGGCTTGGTCTCCCAACTCTCAACAAGTAGCCAGTGGCAGTCTAGACACTACCATCATCATCCTGTAGAGTGGCCTTCTCTATCAAACACACTATCATCACAAGTAACATTATTTTGTGTTATAGCTGGCACACAATAAAGAGTGGGGCTTCCACAACGCTAGAGTCAACTGTGTGGCTTGGTCTCCCAACTCTCAACCAGTAGCCAGTGGCAGTCTAGACACTACCATCATCATCCTGTAGAGTGGCCTTCTCTATCAAACACACTATCATCACAAGTAACATTATTTTGTGTTATAGCTGGCACACAATAAAGAGTGGGGCTTCCACAACGCTAGAGTCAACTGTGTGGCTTGGTCTCCCAACTCTCAACAAGTAGCCAGTGGCAGTCTAGACACTACCATCATCATCCTGTAGAGTGGCCTTCTCTATCAAACACACTATCATCACAAGTAACATTATTTTGTGTTATAGCTGGCACACAATAAAGAGTGGGGCTTCCACAATGCTAGAGTCAACTGTGTGGCTTGGTCTCCCAACTCTCAACAAGTAGCCAGTGGCAGTCTAGACACTACCATTATCATCTGGAGTGTGGCCTTCCCTAACAAGCACACTATCATCAAAAGTATGTATATAAATACTAGCTGAAACCCATCGAAATCGACGGTTAGGGGCCCCCTCATTTATTTGGTCGTGTGGCTTCATTGGCAACAAATAATGCGAACGAAATAGCAATGTGGCATTTCCAATGAGAATAACATACTGTAAATTGGCTGTTAATTGACGTTTACATGCATTGTTAATCAACGTATCTTATAAAGGATAATGTGATCTAGTTTAAAAGGAATATGACCTTTCTGTCATGACAGTAGCTGCTTAAATAGTATTTACTCTTACAGCCAAAATATCAAGTTACTTTCTATGATGTTACCAACCCAGTGGGCCATGGTACGTAATATCATTTTATGACAAAATTTCGGGTTGAGAGACAAAATTCTATTTTTTAATGCGTAATTGGCGTCTCACCTGAAATTCTGTCACACCTTAAATTTGTCCAGATAGCTTAGCCTACTACGAGATAGTCCAGGACTCTAACGTGTTCGTTAATTAATTATCGTTTCGAGTTTATTGGCTCAGAATATTAATTACAACAATAACGCTTACAATGTTAAGCTTACCTTTAAAAAGTGCTCATCATAGCCATTCGAAAAATATGTGAAGTTAAATTTAGAATTTTGAATAACCTATCGTGAATGCGAATAAGCCTAATTAATTAGAAACTTAACCTAAACGTGATTCGTGCGTTATACTTGGTAATCACCAAAGTAAACGTGTCGGGGAAAATTTAACTACAACTAAAATTAAGCAAAAAAAATCTGTATCGGTAGCACACAATAACTAAGGACTCCACCACCAAGGGGAAAACTATAACTAACTCACCGGGATGATTCGGAATACTCAGTGCTGGATTGCTCCAAACAGTACGTTGTTATCGGTCTCGGGCGGGTAGGTAACTGAACATGAGGTCTGCTCTTCTGGTCCTTCTTCACCATCGCCCCTGGCGGCGGGGTAGGTAATTAGCGTCCTCCTGTCTACGATGACGTAGGACTCCTGCTCCTACGATGCCGCTGCAACGCGGGCGCGGCTTACCCCGAACGTAGAAAATTATAAAACTTAAAATGAAACTTTTGAAAATCGGGTTTTTACCCCTTGACGGGTTTTGGGTCGTTACAATTTGTCAAGATAGGTACCATTTAGGCAAGGTTTTTGTGTTTTGATGTTATTAGACACGATAAGAGCACACTGAACTTCTTCTGCAGATGAATAACTGTTGGAGAAATATAAGCCGATTCGTAAATGTCACAATGCAAGTTTAAAGAGCATTTTGTAACTATATGAGGAAGTTACATAGTATTTTTTAGGCTGCTGCTCAGTGCACTTTAAGAATATATTTTTTAGAGATAAATTAAATTGTTTTTGTTGCTGAGTAGTGCTAGTAAACATGCACAACCCTTTTTCATTAGCTAAATAACATTCAAAGGTTCTCTAAGAGTTCAAGAATTTATTTTTTATTTTTTTATTTCATTTTATTTTACAATCTGTTCAGTACTGTGAACAATTAGTAAAACGGATAACATAAATAAGTGTCTTCATTGCAAATACTTCCTTTAGACAATTCAGTAACTCTCAATAAATGTGTGTTGTTTAAAATACAACTAGTGAACCTGTGCGGCTCAATGCCCCGTAAAATAGCATATGAATTAAGAAAACAAATTCATCGTGTTATATATTGACTCGACGTCGAAAATTAAATACAGTAATAATAAAGCCTTAGAAGGGAAGCAGTCCAGCCATTTTCTAGCTGTACATGTGTATTATACAGGGTGATCAACTCAAGGAGGCCACCATTGGGATATCGGAAACGGTAAGAATTAGAAAAAACTTTAAATGGGGGACATTCCTTTATTTTTTGTGGCAGTTAAAAATATGATTTTATTTTTTCGAAATTCAGCCGCCATTTTCCAAGATGGCGGCTAACTTTGAAATTTCTTACGGAACACCCTGTCGTCCTTCTTACCGCTTAAATTTGAACCGACCGATCTTATTTGATCAATGTGTCTCTCCTGTAGGTGGAATTTCCAGATTTAAGATTGTAGTGGCACGTGCCCAGTTTTCGTAGAATCCTTCCAAATCTCCACTTTTGTGGCGTTCCGTAGATTCTAAAAGAAACAGAGTCTCCAAGAAAGTTGATTTATGTTTTAATACATATTTTTATTCTGTACCAAATTATTGTAAGTTAGCTTTTTTAGTGAAACAAAACAAAACAAAATTAATGTAACAAAGTCATATGATAAATAAAAGAAATTAGGAAACAGTTGGTTGAACACAGCAGCAGGATATATTAAAAGGTTTTGCTGTGATAACGGAATACGATAATGATGTTTCTGTAAATGCGGGAGACTATGATTATGTCTACTCGACCGTGGCAGATGTTCAGGATTTAGCCACAATCACGGATTCTGTCTTCTTCAATAATGATTCTTATTACTTTAGTTTGAGTTTTGAGGTTTGGAGTTATACCAGAGATTTAGACTGGCTTTAAATACAGTTGGCTGGTAAAGAGTATCTACTGAAGAGGCCGTTGTATCACTTCATTATATAATAATAGATTTGGATTGTGTTAATTTTAAAACAAGAACCTCAATCTAAACCAACCTGTTTGTTTGTTGTAGATGCTCACCCACAGAGCCAGATCACCCGGCTAGCATGGGTGGATGACCAAACACTTGTGTCTGTTGGCCAAGATTGCAATACCAAAATATGGAACATCACTCCCATCCAATAATCATCATGATCATTTGTAAGTACATAAATTCAGTTTAAAACTTGTAGTAGAGATGTGCGAGAGTGAGACTTTTTATTGAGTCGAGCCCGAGCTGGAAAAAGCCTTGGAAAAAAGCTTCAGCCTCTAGCTTTTTTCGAGCCAACATTTTTATATCATGAATTTTATTTAATGCCATATAATTAGTTAATCTGCAAAAAAAAACTTTTTTTAAATGCAGTATAATGTTTTGGTGTAAAGTTTATTATAATCTTAATTTTGTAGGTGTTGCCTTCCAGATTACTTAACAATATTATTCTAGAGGTTAAATACCTTATTGTTGCCTCTGTAATCCTCTGTCGTCTGGATGGCGACCGGTTTCGACACTCATGGTGTCATTGTCAAGCCTTAAAGACGTGTTGTCGCTCCTAGGAGGTTGTCATAAAGTCTTGAAAACAAATACACGAGACACACACAAACATATTAACGAATAAATAACACAGTATGGCCGTACAAGAACACTAATTTTCACGGTGCGGTTGCGGGTTCAGGGTGTCCATACAGTATTATTTAATTTACAAATGAAATTGAGCATTTAAGACGGCAGACAAAACTAATATGATTTCCAAAACATCAAAGACTAAAAAATGTAATAGTAAATTCAGCATATTATTACAGTACACAGTAGTTTACAGTAGTTTCATTGCATCTCTGATTTTACTCTACAAACATATCAACAAACTACATAATATACAAATCAGTTCTTTTAATCAGCTCCATAGTCCATTGCCTTTACATTTTCACACTTAACATTAAGTAAACATAGTATCATACATTTTATTGATTTTTACAAACACAATAACATTGTGTACAGCTTAGTTTTATGATATTTTCCTTTGTTTAATTTAATCAGTGGTGTAGCAAAACACAAATACATTTATCAAATGCAATAAAAAAAATGTGAACAGCAAGCTATGTTAAGATAAAATAAGAGTGTTTTGTAATTCCATTTAATAATTAAATACCGTTACACATATACCACATATTTTAAAACCCAAAAACCAATCAATGGTGTAGAATTTAGTTATTTATTCTGTAGTTTAATTTAAGCATAGGTGTTGCAAAAGACAGTTACTAAATTTACCTAAATATAAAAAAGTCAATGTGAAGTGCAAGTTATATCAAGTTAATCCAACACATGTTGAACAGTTCAGATTTATAAAAATATAGCCTACAAATTCATACAAAACATCTAAGTTATATATTGTAATTTCCATACTGTTTCCATGAAAATATATCAATAACATTATTTTCATTACTTAGGGGGAGCGAGCTGGTCTAGTGGTTAGAGCGTGTGACTTCAGTCCAAAAGGTCCCGGGCTCAAACCCCGCCAAATCACCAATGGACTTTATCTAAGTGATAATGCCCCTAGGTCTAGCCTGAAATAATGTGAAAAACGATCCCAGGCTTGTGCCTAGCGTCCTAGGACAAAAAAAACTTACTTAGACTTTGTTAATATCAAAAGCAGAGCCCGAGTTGATACAGCAATGGTCATAGCATTTTTTTTTTATATTTCTATAATCATAGTTAAAAAAAATAAACCTGCACATAGTAGAGTAATAGCTATTTACATTACAAGTGTAGTAAGAGCGTTTTTACATCACGCAGGTGAAAGTTGTGCAACGAGCGAAGCGAGTTGCATAATTTACCTAAGTGATGTAATCACGCTCTTGCGTAACGTGTAACGTACAAGATTTTACCTGACCCGACAATATACAGGAGGTTACGAACAATATTTTTCATTACCCATTTCACTCATCTTATAACAGTAAGGTTCATTTACAAACAAAAGCTAGGTTAGGAAAATTCTCCAAAACATAACAATAACAATAAAATTCAAGCACACAGCTGATTTCTAGCGTTAAACGTCGTTGTCTCCATAGAGTTATATTTTTTAAGTTATCCACTCAATGTTATTTAAATGGGTTTCATTACATCACCGAGTGAGTTTTTTGATACTTTACATCACTCGAGAAGTAAGGAAGTTGTATACATCACGCTTAGGATAGGGAAGTTTAACATGGCGGGTTAGGTAAAATATTATATTTAATTTCTTTGGATCAGCTGTCTGAAATTGTGAAATATGCAATTTGGCAGTTCAAGCTTGTTTACATTGAAATATCAAACGAAAAGTAAACATTGTGAGTATTCACTTTCCAGCCATGGAGACCAATCAATTGTTACTTTTAAAATCCTCACCTCAGAACTTTTAAAGCCAAAGGGGCAAAGGCCAAAGTCAGTATCAAAGTGTGAATAGTCCTATTACCATTCTTGGTATGGTAGCTATATTTTTGTAAAATTTAAGCCTGGTCAGTTAAGTAGTTTTTGCGCCTATCAGTAAAACACTTGCAGACAGACACCATTAGATTTTTATATAATAGTATATAGTATATAGATATAATTTTAACCAAACTCTTGCAATATATGTTAAGATCAAAAAAGGTTTCTATTCCACGTCCTCTTCCTGTTGCAAAGCACGGGTACAACAGCTAGTTTTGTATAAATGGATTTATGAAACAAGGAGCTCAAGTTTAGAATAAATGCCACCTCATTTCTTTTCCTTAAAAAAGGGAAAGTTTTATGAAAATTAGTGTAGTCATGGACTAAGAATAATGATCAAATAGAAATATTCAAATAATTAGTATAAAAAAAAAACTTTGCATTTGTGTGGCTAAGCTAAAAGTGGATGGCAGTTTCATTTTTGAAACCTAAATAACCGACACAACCAAACCTAAACAGTTAACTAATAAATATCACTATCGACAACTAACTGACAACTACTTATTTGTGATAACTTTAGCATTTCAGTGCTCAACTTAAGTAAAGCATTAACAATTAAACTGTATAAAAAAATACATAGTTAACTTTTTTTTATTTACAAAGACAAAAGCTAAAATAAATATGCTAACAATATTTTTATTAGTTCCAGGAAAATTGTTCAGGTGAAAACTGTACTGCCTATCACAGAAATGTTCTTGAAGCAGATGTCCTCAGCTGTATCGCCAAACAATACCCAGGAAAGTCAAGATATAGAATTATCACTTCTTTGATAAAGGACACTACCAAAGTAGTTTTAAAACTTAACTTTGGAGTGTCTACATTTCAAATGTTATTTGATTTAGTAGAACTTCACTGATTTTATCTTAAATGCTTAATGTCAATACCTATATTGCAACAATTAATTGTTATCTATTACACTTTCAAGTACAAGCTTTAAACTTGCATACAACTTATTATATTGGCATGTTTTCATGTATAATTGTACTTTTGGTAAACCATATTATTTTCTAGGGTATAAAATTGAATTTTATTTTTGTTTGTATTTAACTTATAGTATTTTTATGTATAAATGAACGTAGTATATAAAATATACTGCATAAAACTGTGTTGAAATGCAATATTCCAAGTACGCTTATTGACTATTAATATTAAATCATCGAAGTTCTACTGTAGTTTCTTATGAATATTAAGTAGGCTACTGTCTTCTCTATACACTTGCAAAAAACGTCATTGTTGTAAATTTTGTAACTTTGAACCCGAACAAATAAATCAATCTGTGATAACATTTCTCTAAAAACTGTAGTAGTGGTTCACTTATTCTTCTACTAAAATAATTGAATTTATTGTTGTTGTGTTTACTGTAAATTAAGGGGTGATTATATTGCTCTCAAAACTAGTTTCTATTAGTTTTTAAGTCATTTACCTAATGGAAGATATTTGTTAATCATCAACCAAAGGGTACAGTAAGTATTTTATTTATTTTTTAAGATAAGAAACAATAAGTTTCATAATCAGCTAACTTATAGGAAGTTTGGTTTTGTTTGATAAATCTCTTTAATGAATGGTTTGTGTGAAAGATAGGACATATTTTCTTTGGCTATATTAAAAAAATAACTTAATTGGTATTTATGGTTTACCAAAGGCATTTTTAAGCTTATATCTTTGACTATTAAATAGTCAATGCTTATAATTTATCAACTGCTTGCTGACCTTATTACATGACATAATTAATAAACTATTGATGTTTGATTACTCAAAATACCAGTAAATTAGAAGCTATATCTAAAAAATTGTAAAAGTATTATTTATTTTTATTTATACCTGGCGTTTATGTATACTGACTGATAGATATGTAATTTCATGTGGCAGGTTGCCTATCCTACGTTCACATTCTCTGTTGTATAAAAATCTGTAATCTGCATAAAATGTATTAATTTATTGCATTAATGAAGTGTATTAACTTAATTAAAGTTATGCTGAGATACATATATTTCTTTCATATTTTAGTTTAGCTACAATTTAAACCTTATTGTTTAGGGGAAGAGTATGTAGTATGGGCCACTTCCTAATCTGAAACCTACGTTTTCTGTATCAGCACAGAATAAGCACAGATAAATGAAACCGGCTCAGAAGTAACTGTTATGAATTCCATAAACTATACCTCAAGATATGTAATGTAGGCGGTGAAGTCCATTCATTGGAGAAACTAAAAAAAAAATGGTGAAACATACTACCTTTCTCCATTATTTCTTTTGATAATGTTATATTTTACTTAGCTGTTTTCTGTTTTACTAAGTATTGTAATTCTATTTTGTCATAAATTCTCATCTTTCTGCAGTGTTTGGAAGTTTATTGAAATAAAAGATGAAACATAGTAATCAATCTATTTTCAATGTGTAAATAAGAATATTTTCTACAAACGTGTTTGTAATAGTTTTTATATACATAGGCTCAAGTATATTTGAGTATGTATGGGACTTGTTTTCCTCTATTGAGATGTTGTGAGAATGTTTATGTATGTTTTTATTTGAGTTGCATTTATTATAATGGCTTTTATTTATTTATATACATTTAATTGTAATTGAGTTATCATATTCATTTTAATCAAACTTTTTTAGTAATATGCCACATTTTTCAAGTTGGAGCTCATGTGTAGATAAACACTCATTATTTGTTTGATTGCTTTGTTGTTTTACAATGTGTGTAAAATAATAAATGGTTTTGGTATGTCTCTAGTATTTCAATAATCCAGAATAATTTTCCTTATAACTTTACTCCAAGCTTATAGCCGATTTCCCATGTACGGAAGAAGATATTACCATAGGTAGTACGGTAAAACCTAGACCCGAGACCAAATTACTTTTTCATGATGATGTTCCCGAAGGCGAAAAACACAAGGTACAACAAAAGGTAGTCCTATTTGTTAAAATTGTCATATATATATTGCGCTATAAGGCAAGTGAATAGTGGGATACTATCAGTTTGCACAAGGTTGTTAACGAGTGATGTTTACATTTGTGTTTTGTACTTTATTTTTATTACTGAGCTAAAATGACAAATCCAAACGATCCTAAATTGTATGAAGATGTACCAGTAATCGATATTTTAAATAAAATTATGACTGAGATATCAGTCCACCTTAAGTTTTTTTATTGGGCCTTGCAGTTTTTACTTTCTCCCCCTATACCATAGTAGCCTATAAGGAGAATGTATTGTTTTTATCAAAATTTTTGAGTTTAGAGTGGATTGTATATCCGTTTTCGGCCTTCGGTCCAGCTGAACGAAAAAAGTGGCTTTTAAAGTGATGTGTGTGTGTAGAGCTACAACCGACCACACCTGTTGTCCGATTGTGATGAAATTTGGTATGTATGTACTAATCCATGGTGTCTCCAGGTGTTTTTAAATTTTGATTTTATTGAGGACTGTACCATAATAATAAATAAATCTAATTTTCTCAAAAATGGTCCGAACGGTTTTGTTTAAATTTTAGTATGTTAGCCCTTTAAATTTTGAACAAAATGATATACTACTTCCATTACTGCAAAAATTATGGTTCAAAAGTTATAGTAACTTTTGCGATTTCCCCATAAATAACCCCTTACAATAACAGAAAATTTTCGAAAATTATTACAAATTAAAAATTATTTCCAAGTTTTAAATAAATTGTAAATTGTTTCAACATCTTTATTTCAAGTAAAATAAATACAAAATAGAACCACTTAAGTTAGTCATTTAATATTCATTATAGTAATTTAAAATAGCTCTAGAAGGGTTAAGTGTTTTTTTTTTTCAATTAGGCCTATTAAATTTTCAGGTTACAAGGGAAAATTTCAAAACCTACATTTAATTTAAAACAATAGTACAGTTAATTACTGGTGTTCTAGGATGTTTGATAAGAGTTTTTCAATTTATAAAAAGTTATCCTTACATTCAAAACCTAAAGCTTATTTTGTTTTCTAGGTTTCCAAACGGTACGGTGTATTTTTTACATTGGGCAACATTATTATGACATAGTTGAAATCAATTGGTGATTGGGGAGTTTTCAACTCAAGCCTTTAGTCAGAAGTCCCCCGCTTTGGCTACACTACATCAAAGTTGTACCCCCTTCATTTAGTAATTAATCATTACTTTTAACAGCACTTTCCACAAATTAAAACAGAATATCATGTCTAAAGATGTTACCCTCCTAGATACTTTTTTATTCATAAGTACTGCTTTATGACTTATGGTTAAAAACCTCAGAGTTTAAAATGCTAAGGTATAGTTTATTAATTACACTGATAAACTACTTGTATATAGTCATCAGTCATTTGGCATTATCAGGAAGGTCCTAGCTGAACAAGAGTTTTCTATTTGGTGTTAAGGGTTGTTGTCTGTAAATGGGACTGCTACTACAGGAGATAGTCATTAATCCTAGAAAGTGAATCAAATACAGTAATCTGAACTATCCATAATCATGTAAACCCACCCCACCCTTTTAAATCTTCGCAATTAGATTTCCTGCTTTCGAAAATAAGCTATGGACCCAACTACTATACACTCGAACATGAGTTAACCTGTCATAGCAGAGTATATAAGGACTGTTACGATTGAGCTATAAATTAGAAAATCCATTTATTGGAATTCAAATTATCTGTTATTCTGTCATATTGATTCAACAAATTAGTTCTAAGGTCGTTAAGTCAGACATTTCTTTATCTACTTAACCAGCCCATGTGTATTGATGGAATCCAGTTAGAAGTTGGCTCACGTTCTTTTGGGGTAATTACTTGGGAGTGGAGACGTTCTTGGCATATTGTCGTCTTTAGGATAGAATGAGTGGCTAAGAAAATTTTAAAGCCAGGATATTTTGTAGGCCTATAGTATTCGTTTTCCTTGAGAGTAAATTTTAATTAGCCAAAAATTAAATATGAATTCGAATTTACACATATACTCCGTTAAATCTTTCATTAAATTATCTTCAACCTAAAACGTTTAATCTATACTGACCTTTAAATCAAAAAAAGATCAAACTGTATATTTTAATGATACCTACATTGGTTTGCTGTTTTTGCAAAGAATAATGTATACCTTATATGGACAATCTATAAAAATAACTTATCCTTATCTATACATATTACAATATTTAAAAAAAATTAAACATCTTCAACACACTTAATCACAGTACCTTATGGATTAGTTTAGTCCTTTACATAAAAAATAGTACTGTATTGTCAAAAGTGCTGAACTAGGGTATCTTTTGTTGTAAATATATTTCCTCCTCAAAAGGAAGCCCCTCAAGCATTTGTTTTGATTTGTTCTGTACTTTATATGGATATTGTTTTGTAACCAAGTTTATACCTTTGTTACCATGAATATATACCGTACCTTTGTAATCATGAAAATATTAAAAAAAATATAAATAATCAATTAATTAATTTTTTTGATTATCACTGTCATAAGAACCTGAGTTACATTTTTACAATTATTAATTTATCTTTAACTAATTTCTCTATGAAAAGATCCGCTGCATTTTGTGAACGCGGTAGCCTACTGTACTTAAAAAAGAGTATTCCTTTAGTTAAATAATTACAATGAGAATGACATAAGAAGTACTTCATTGCGGGGTCCCATATGCCATTATCCTATCTGCATTATTCTAAAACAACTTACAATAATTAAAATCTGTCCACTTCTTTGATAGTGATGTACATTTATTTTGCTTATCTGTTTAACTGAATTGTGGATATTTATAGGGATGCACTGTGGATGCGATGCTCCCTGGTGTGGATTAACGTCCGCACTAGTGAGTACTACAACTATCCGCAGTACTATCCTGATAATTAGACCAATTCGTAAATTACAAGGAAAAAATGTGGTTCGGATTCCACTATAAACTGTAGGTCCCTTAGTTGCCATTAGCTGTATGGGCTATTAATTAACAGCTGTGACTAAGGAACATGTCGGCCTTAGTCACTAACAAGACTACAAGATCGCGCCACTCATCCTACACTCATCCTTCTCTCATATTTGGGTTAAAATACGCACATAGTGGCGTCCCCATCTTAAATAATTGATAATTGATAATTGATAACAGACCAATAGACCATATACATACGACTGCAAAAAACTAAACTTAAATTTAAATCCTTCTTTTCTATGTGGTTTGCTGCAAACGTTATTATCTTTTTGCATGAATGGTCACGCAGTTCTCTAATTCATAGCGAGTTGGCAATTACAATTTTAAACGCTGTTTATAAAATAATCCACTTAAGATGCAACCACTTAAGCTGGTAGTAAACATAATTACTTCAGAGTCTCTAACTTTGTAAATGTAAAGCTCATAGGTGTTACAGCCTAAAATGTACAAGTTTAAGCTGTTATATATTTCAAACCCGATTATGTAAATTGACATTTCATTTTAGGGACTGCTCTGGTCATTATATTCTGACGGTTCAGCGGAACTTAGGGTTTATAGATCATAAGTTTTATTGAGTCTGTACATAAAACCCTACATGAAACTAAGGCAGGTCGATGAATAATTTGCATACACAGCCTTAATAAAATTCCGAAGTATCATAAAACTTTATACTACTTGATACAAGTAAATTTATTTCTCAAAACGTGAGCCATCTTTGGTATATTATTTGTGATATTTCAATTGAAAATTCATTTATTTCAAGAAAAGGACATATTCTGCCTAACCAGCATCATAAAGGAAAAGAACATAATGTCTAGCATGGTAACAATCCCTATTCAGGCTACAGTAAACATGAACACATTACCTTGTTTACTTGGTAGATGTTAAACATTTGACCATCCAATTACTATAGCATCACCTAACTCGATAACAACAATAACTTAGATTACCAGGGTAACTAGGCAATCTGTTTGTATGTGCAAAAGTCGCTATTGTTCTTTCCCATAAAAGGCACCTCCAACGAGTGTTTTAACAAAAATTAACTTTCTGGTTTTTGCAGATAAAAGAGTCAAATAAATGTTAATCAATTAAAACAAATAATAAGTGTAATTAAACTAAATACCCCCGCCGCAGCAACCTGCAGACTAAGCGAATTTCCATTTAGATGGCTGGATTTCTACTAAAATATACCCTGAAAATAGTCAGATTTATTTCCTATTTAAATAACATTAATTTTAATGAGTACCTAGGGTTGCTGCTATAGGGCAATAGCTTAGTATGAAATAAACAAAATTGCCAAATTTGATTAAAATGTATCTATAAGCAAGCAAACAACAACAGTTTATTTATTCTCCGTAAGCATAACATGGGAATTTTAAATTTAATGTTTTTTTTAACTATTTCTGTAACCGTTAGGCATAGAACAACGCTTCAACATACATATTTTTTAAGCTCTACAGAATGGCCTGGAAAGAAATTGTGAAATTTTATGTGTTTTCAGTCAAAAATGGGAAAATCCAATTTTTACCCCATTAAACCCCCCATGAACCATTCCCATAGTCTGATTCGCAGGTTTACATGTTTCTACCAAATTTAATCAAAATCGGATAATTTTTGCTCAAGTTATCCCGCTAACGGACACGTATATACAGGGTGTTGAAAATGTCTGGAACCAACATTATATCTCGTGAGTGGTTAAAGAAAAACAACTGATATTTTGTGTACGGATATACTATGGTTTTACCTATCTTTTATTGCCTTATGAAAATTTCTACCACTTATAGGGAACGTCCTGTGGAGGATGCAGTAAAACGTTTTAATGGAAGCCTATG